AAAATCCAGTCTGCCCTATGCATACTTTGGGTGCTTGTTTTCATGTTTTTGCAAGTCAGGATATGAGTCATGTTCACCAGTACACATTTATGGTTAACCCATAATCCATCCATACTATAAAATGAGCACATGATATAATACAACATAGCATAATCTGATATTATGTTATACAATAAGCACACAGCCCATCCACGTTATGTGCTTACCTTACCCAGGACTGGGGTAAGACAACCCTGATGTGGTGGCAATTTCTTGGTGACAGATTACTTGTGATACCACAGCATTGCATGGTGAGTACCACTGAGCTACCACAGAACTTAGCTTAGTACAAATGCTTTCCAAATTCACAAACTTCCTTTTCCAAATTCACAGTTCTCCCTTGGGATTTGTTTTCTAAAGTGGTTTTCTAATGCCTCTAATTATTTACACAAGCACAGAAGTTCTGATGAAGGAAAAAATACTGAAAAGCTAATCCTGTGTGGGCAAAGCAGGTGATGTGTTCACTAGAGATTGTTATCTTTGTTAAATATTCAAAATGTTTTTCCTTCTCATGCTTTTAAATTAAACTTTTGCCCTGGTTAATCCAGGGGTTCACTTCTATCTCAGACTTTTGCTAGCATATATTAACATCTCTTTAAAATCAAAATCACCTCTGAATTCAAGTGTCCATTTTAGATACAATTCATGATTATAGTAATAATATACACAGTGATTGTGTATATTTGTACTAATATGTAATACATACTGTATTAATGTTCTCTCTATAGAGTGCATAGCCTCAGGAAACAGCTGGTTACAAACCTGCCAGGTTGACTTTCATGAAAAATAAGATGAATTTAGAAACCAGTGATCTGGAGCACATCATTTGTTTAGGCTCTGATTCTGCTTCCACTGAATTAAAGGAGCTCCAATTAACTTTTAAACATGGGTAAGAGGGCACTGAGAACCCTTCCAGTTGGAAATTGTATCAACCTCCCCTTCAAGTCAGCTACACTTCTGAATGCGAAGAGCGGGATGGAGTGTGGTCCCATGTCCTGTGGGAAGAAGGAATTGTAACCTCCTGCAGAGAGAAAGGACTTGTTTTGTTATTTGCAAAGACCAATTCTAATGACATTCACGGTAGTGATTTACTTGGTAGCAGATAAAGAGTTGTGTTCTGATTTATAAAGTACTCTAAGAGAGATGCTAGTTCTGTGGGAAGAGCAGGACTGTTAGGAAACACCAGTATCCTTCCCTGAACACAATCAGATCACCTTTATTTTCTCTTTTTTTTTTTTTTACAAACACCTTGTATCACATTTTCCCAGTAACATTTCTGTTCCAATATGCATCCAAATCTTTCTAATGGTGAAGCTGATATACAAACTTTCTGATCAGACTGTTCCATTTATAGTCAGTATTTTGGGAAAAGGGTGAAACTCTGGCGTGCCCCTTTTTTGGACTTCCATGACACTGGTTTCTCATACCTCAGGCTAGACCGAAAGAACAGGCTCCAGTTCCCACAGTTAATTTTTCTATTTAGGCCACGAAATTAAGAATTAAAGGGAAAAAACTCCATCTTTTTTCTCCATAACCATTCTTAAGAGAAACAAGACACATGTTTGCCTCACCCCTTGAATGCAGGAGCTTGAGCAGAAATTTCTGCTCTTTGGGTTATTTTCTTTTATGACTTCTGCAACCACCTAGTTCAGTATGAGGAACAGAGAAAGCATTGCAGCTTCAGCAGAGGAGTCTGGATGACCTGCCCTGGAACATCCCTGTGGGCCTTCGGGCTTTTTTAAATTTTAAATTTTTAAAAGTCATTCTATCAATGCAATGAACAGTTTTCTCAAGTAACAGAATTCTTAACAGAAGGACTGAAGTTTAAAATGTATTTTCCCCAGCCCAAAACCAAAGGACAACCTGCCACATAGTTTGTCTGGGTACAAAGCTCACCTCACAGAAATCCAATAAATGACTTTATTAAATATATTCTTTTCCTCTAAAATATAAATATTCACTATACTCTTATAAATGTGGAGTAGGTCCATATTTCATTTGTCTATCCCATCCAAATATGAATCAGTCCAAAATCTGAAAATGAAGAAATAGCATCTGTAATTATCATTATTTTTTATTATATAATATGAATTTTCTTTGCAAACTGTTTAGTTATTCATTTAGACTTCATATAGTACTGAGCACCTTAGATTACATTTTGTGTCACTTAACTGTTGGTACTAATATAGGAATTTGTCATATTTACAATGCACATACATGTTAGGTATAACATTCCAGTGATTCGTGTTAAAGGAATAAGGAAATAGTGCAGTATAGTTTACATATGTATTTCACCTACCCCACAGAATGCAAGTTTTAACTTTAACCTCTAGAACTTGTATAGGAGCCTGCATCCAAATTTGTAAGTTATACTTTGGAACAGCAATAAAAATGTCCTGGATCACTTCAAAAAAACTTCACACAACAGTTGACGTGATAGTATGACGTGGATTCCTACCCAAAGACCTGTCCCCAGCGTACCGAGTGCTCGCGGCTTCCCAGATGCTCTCCGAGAAGCTTCCAAGCCAAAGGAGACACAAGTAACTGCCACAGAAAGTCATGTGAACAGCAGTGGTCACCGAATGAGAAATGTCCATCTGGAAACTGCTGGTAAGTTATGTAACGCGTTACCTCCTCCCTTGTGAAATTACACGAGGAACTAATTTTTAAGTGCAAGTACCATGACAGTAAAGACGAAGTTCACAGCGAGGTGAATCTCTCCCAGGTGTGTTTCTGACTGGTGAGAGGTGCTGGGAGTGGGGCTGCTCTTCCAAAGGGGCATTTAGTTGTTCTTCAGTGATTATTTTCTGTATTCATGAGTTCAGCCCATCATCCTAATTTTTTCATTAGTTTTGATTAAGATACCTATGGAAACCGCCATGAACTAGTTCTTACGCTGTGAATAAACAGCATGACTTATGCTTAACTCTCAAACTTAACATCATGTGGCTGGCAAAGAGGAAAATTAAAAACAGTTTGGTTCCCTGTTGTTTTTAAGCTAAGTTGAAATTTATGTGTTTTCTCAGGACTAAAAGAAATGTTGTAATATGAGAAGTGAACATTCACAAACGTAGGATTTATTACATCCTGTACAGTTCCTGTCCTTCAAAATGTGAATTTAGGGCAAAACAGTAAAAGCAAACAAAACCCCAACCCCTGTGTGAAGCAGTTCTGTTTACAAAGTAAGAGCAATGTCAGTGCCATCCCTGTTCTGCTTCTTCCTATTCCTACCTGATCACATGATGCCAGTTTCTTACTTCCAGGTGCAAGCTGTCTGGATCATCTCTGATGATGAAGGTCAGTGTTCCTGCCCTTTCTGTGCTGCCCAATGTAACTGAGAAGGCTGAAACTCAGTCAATTGCATGCTTTGACTTAAAACGTCGTGCTGAAAAGCCGGAACGAATAAGTTATGGGCACAGAGGTGAATGTCTTACGTTTCACCAGCAAGAATTCTGGACTTGCCAAGCCATGCCAACAGGAGCAGTTCCATGTTAAGGAGTGCAGCTCACGTTCCCTCCCTGGTGCATTTCTTCACTGTTGTGGAGCTGCTTGAGTAACTTTTCTGAAAACTCATAAAATTGAGACTTCCTCCTTCCCCACATTTGTTCTTCTATGAAGACCACACAGCCAGCCTCATCTGGTGACACAGTAAGGGTAGGAGAAGAGGAGGCTCGGCCTTCTGTTGGAAAACTGCCATGGAAATATGCAGCCAGAAGCTTCCATCCTGCTTCAGCATGGATTCAGGTTAACTGAGCTGGGGATCCCATATAGCTGAAACTCATTAAGCTATTCTAGGAAGTCACTACAAAATTGCACCCTGTGTTCATTAACAAAGGATGCTCCCACCTGCACTGCACTGACAGCTGGTTCTCAATACATCCCTACAGCTACTCCTGCTTTGGGTCCACTGCTAGGAATGTGCACAACACGTCTTCAATTTGAAACTGCCACTTGGCAGCAGCCCTCCAGCTGGTGCCTAAGCACAGCTGTACTGCTTTAGAGTGTCCAACTCAAAAGTGTGTATTTGCATGCTCTGCTGGGTATTCATGCAAGAGGTTCTGACAGTGCTCCAAAAGAAAAATCTTCTGTAAGTGGTGCACAGGTTACAACAGAAAAAATCATTTACTTTTGGGTGGTGGGACAATCTTGGGTGGAGAACTCCTCAACCAACCTTGAGCTTTCATCACAACCAATACCTGCTCTTGTCTGCTTAGCCCTTTACTTCCTCTATATAAACAAGCACATTGAAATAGGCACAATTTATGATTCTGGAACATTTACACGTATGGTACTACAGGATTTTACGGTCTCCCATGGGATTTTAAAATCCCATTATTTACAATGAAATCCCCTGTCTTCCTTGTCTTGCCATCTCTGTAGCTGATCAAAATGAAACCTGGGCCTTGGAAGACTGCAGAAGTGATGAAGGCCCAGTCCTGGACCCCAGGCTGGTGACTGCTGCTGGCTGGTACAGACTGCTGCTATTGACTGTACTTCACATTAGCATGGTCGCTCCGTTTCTCTTCAAAGAACAGTTGGATCTCACTTATGCCACCAAGCCCAGTCTTGTGATCTTTGCTGACAGGAAGGAATGAATGATGAAAACAATTGGTTTTGGACAGGAATGAAGGTCCAGTTGCTGAAAGTATAGAAAAAAATCAAGTTGAGAATTATTAGATTAGAATTCAAAACAGGAATCATTTGTGGAGAACTCGCTGAAATGCTGCCTGGTGTTTTGAACAGGCTTTATTAATAACAATCTTTCACTACAGCATATTGTTAGCATGCCATCAGCATCTTGCAGGCTGGTGAGACCATGGTACCTCTGGCCTTGCATCCTCCTGGGTGAGCAGCAGCAAACTGAGTCAGATGCCGCAAGCAGTTTTCCAAGAGGCTTAGCCCCTCTGTCTTTTCAGGCTCTATTTCTGACTAGGGATGGTGGTGGGATTGCTCTGTCTGATGCCCAGTGTATCTGCTGTTGATCACAGCTGAAGCACCTTCAGCTGGTGCTGCAGGTTTGCTCCTGTTTGCACAGCCAGCAGTGAGACTGAATTGAAACTTTTTTTTCCGTAGTCATGGTTCAGTTGATCTCACCGCAGGCTTGCTAAGCGTGACAGGCTTGTCAGTGTGAACAGCAGGTTCAACAACAGGGTCACATCAAAACAAACCCGCTTTTCCTTTCTACCAGTCATGTATCAGCTTTATTAAGAGCTAGTAGAAAATTCCCTTCTGAAAGCCTGACGATAAGCAGTTCCCAGAATATATTTTAATGAAGATGATGTGAAGAATTAAGCACCCAACATGCTCAGAACTGCTGAAAAATCTGGGAGGAAAGACCATGCTTACATTTGTAATTTACAGTATCTAAACAGCTCATTGGAATATGCACCTTATTTTTAAGCTTTGTGACAGCTTAGAAGCCTAAGCAGACAGTTTGCATTACATCTGCCTTAATTTTTTTTCAGCAACTACATGTTCAAAAAACATCTAAAACGCAGCTTGTTGTCATAACATGAAGTCCCTATGGAATTAATACGATCTCATTCTTTAGTTGTTTCACCCTCAATCATTTAAAAGTGAAATGGATACATACAAAAATTCTAACAGTTGGCTATATTTCATCCCTCTCTGCATGGTTTTACCATTTTAAGGGTCTTTTTAGTTTATCTCCTTCTTAAGCCAGACTGACATGCTGTACTATAAAGCATGGCATCTAAATACTGGTACTGAGTCCTAGCACTGGCCAACAGAACAGAATAGAGTTTTTCTGTTGGAAGGGACCTACAAGAGTCACCTAGTTCACCTTCCATTAGGGCTTCTCCACCTCACAGCCTGAAGGACCCAAAGAAATGGTAACATGCATCCTTTTGCTAAGCACAGTACTTACAATTTCTCCATCTTTTCCTCCAAAGTCTAAATAAAGCATCCTTATCCCATCATCCGAGGACATTTTCAGTTTTTCATAAGGATATTGTGCAATTGTCTTAGAGAAGGCACCATCTTGCGGTTCAGTTGTAAGGGAGAATCCATGTTCGTAATGGATGGTCAAACGGCACTCCTGGCTTTTGTATGTGCAAGCTGCAGGAGGAATCAGAATTGAGTCTGTAGCATTCTTACAAGCAAAACTTCCATTTGGCTGCAGATATCTGCATTTGACATTTGATCTCAATGCTATCTTGTGGAAACTAACCTTTCTTAAAACTGGGCTAATTCTGCTGTAAATGTCAGCCTGTAGTTTTGGAAAAACAACAGAAATCCTGTTGTGCAAGATCCAAGCAAGGTTTGTAATTACGGTGTAAACACACAGACTAAAATAGTGCTCAGCTGTAGCAGGACTCCAGTCAGTCCTTTCACTTACTTGCTCCATTCTTCATGTTGCAGCATACATCTACATGCTGACAAAAACCACTAATGGACTGAAGCCTAAGAAGGCTCAGGCTGGTGTTTCCTCCTTCCAAACCTTGACAGAGTCACAGCTGCTCTTCTTACGTCTGACAGACACAGCCAAAATCAATAAACACGGTGCACAATGCATGAGAAAATTAGACACTGTAAAAGGTTTCCCTAAAGTATTTTGACAAAGATGAAGACACTCCCGAGTCCTCATTAGTGTCGTGGTAATTGAAAAAGGGCCCAGATAATTGTATATAATAGCTACTGCAGCAGAAAGTCTGCATCTTCCCCACAGTTCAGAAACAGAGGCCATGATCCAAATTGAAAAATGAATAGTTTTGGTGTTCACATCCCAAATTCACTTTGCTATCATTTTCCTGTGAACAATTCTTCCAAGAAGGGTCCTTGGCACAGGGATAAAAGCACTGTGATAAAAGAAGGGGCTGATGCTCTCCTGCTTTTGGAGAGAACACGTCCATGCCACCGCACTGAGGAGATGGACATGTCCTCGAGGTGGTTCCCACTGAACCCTTGGGTTGGTTTCCATGTCAGGGGCCCTCACACATCAGCCCAAGCTCCCTGCAAGGCACGGGGCCTGGCAGCCTACAGGCAGGTGTCCCCATGTGTCCCTGACAGCTTCAAGAAATCAGAACTGCCCTTTGTCATGGGTGGATTTGTGCTTTGGCTCCTGCTCTCACACTTTTAGGCAAAGAATGGAGATAATGTTCAACATTAACAGCCCTGCTAACTGTAGGGCTAGTGGGGGAAGGACTGCAAATCCTGGGGGCACTTGAGAAATAACACAGCCTTAAAGCCCCAGAGCCATCCCAAGCTAACAGTTACCTGGCCACATGGGGCATCACTCCAGAGCATCTGCAGCCAATTACTTTCATTACAGTCGATTCTGCATGTACAGAAGTGCTGAGAAATGACACCCTGATGTTCAGGGAGGGAAATGACTACCCATCAAAATGTGGCTATTGGAGTGGTTCGTACTTTTTACTCCTCTCACATGTGCAGAGCTGGGTGAATAAATGACCAATTCACACTTGTAAATGTGCCAGTCCTCCTCTGCCTCCTCCCTCTGCAGGAGAAACTCCTACCAGGCTCACAGGAGTCTCCCAAATCTCAGAAAAATGCACTTTTCTGTGGGTTTCTGGACAAACCTCTGACAATTCACTCCTCCATGACATGAAGGCCTACATGGCTGGCTACAAACCTGTGTTTGAAACAACATGGTGAAAACAAAATCGTCAGTCAGTATGACAGTGACTGTGTCACTGGCTACAGGGGCCACACCAGCTGGAGACTGGCTCAGAAACCAAAAGGACAGTATTTTAAAAACAGAGCCCTAAACATGCACATTTTTAAAATGAAGCATCTGTAGCAGAAGGAACTTCATCTGCCAGGGGTGTCACGAGAAGGAGTGGAGATGCAGCACTGCAGGTGTTACTCACATGTGGTGATTTCCGTAATGAGCTCTGCAGAATTGTGGCAGCCCTGCACGACACTCCTCGTCCACAGTGAGAGGTCTCGACTAGTCTCCGTCCTGAACAAGTGGGTTTCAATCCCTTGCCTTGTCCCAGTACGGGTTGCAAAAGACAAATCCACCCCTGACTGCGGTGAGCCTTTTCCTGGGCCAGAATGAACCAACCTGCAATTGGATTTGAAAACACATCAGGGAATTCTAACACACAGTGCACTGCACCAAAATCACCACCTGAGCACAGCTCTGCTCTGCACATTCCTAAATGCATGTGGCTGGGAGCATGAGAACTTGCATCTCTGTATTCACTCAGAAGTGTGAAGATCCAAAGCAGTGAGCACAGAAGCAGCTGGACATGCAGGTGATGATGTGGATGCCCCAAGATTTCCTAATGAACTGTACAAAACACCCCTGTGGATAAGGAACTGAGAGAAATTACTGACTGATCTGTGGTGATGGAGTTTGGTCCACAGACACAAGTGCTCGCTCAGATCAGGCAGCTGAATTCAACTTTCACTGTGAAGTAGCATTTGCCATAAAGCTTAAACATCTGCAGACAAACTCGGTGATAAATGCTGTTGGATAAAATTAGAAGCTCTGTAAAATATGCAGATGCCAAAGTACTGTCTTGTACTTATTTTTCCCATAAGGAACCTGTAAAATGCAAAATGTTACAGCTCCTTGTAATCTGAAATTCTCTCACATTTTGCTGCAATTAACATTTTTTTGTCTGGCATCAACAGCTGATCTCCTGTGACCAGGAAAGGTTTGTTCATCTGGGCAAACATGAATCACAGGGAATGTTTTTGAGTGAGAAAATCAATACCTTATAGTAATCAATTCTTCTTTAATACTGCTCTTTTGTGTTGTTGGGTTTTTTTTTTCCTGCAGAAGTGTGGACAGTGAATACAGAATTCACTCAGGGACATGACACTGCTTCGTCTGAGAAGAATAATCCAGAGGAGCTCATCACTCTGAGATTCAGAGACTACTCCTCAGAGGCAATCACAAAATGGAATTCTTCTGAAAAGCTTATTTCTGTCATGAGTCTCCTGTTTCCCTTTCTGTAGGTAAACAATATACTTCATGTGAGACTATAAAGTATGTAGCATGGTAGTAGAACACTTGTGCTGAAGGATAAAACATTAGCTCATACTGATCAGCTACTGAATGCTAATTTGCCCTCAAATTATTGTTTTGCATCTGGAAGAATAGTTGCATGTTAGCTGACACTGTACAAGGATGCCATCAAACAGGGATGTTTTAATAGGAAAATAAAAGCAGAAAGGAAAGAAAGAGCACAAATCAAAACACCACAGGGCATCTGAAATTTTCCCCAATTCCCTGAAGGTCTGTGCTGACATTTGGGTTAAGTCCTTCTTTCATACCCCACTAGAAGGTTTGCAGGATTTAGTTATGCTCAGGTTCATGGAAACCTTGGATCAGCATCCTCCTTGATTTTATGGTCCCAGGAGCTCCCAGAAAGTGGGATGCAGAGCATCCTGGTCAGAGTGGCCCTGTCCTCTGTGTGGACAGGATGACAGGGCTTTTTTTCTCTCTAGAAGGGCTAGGCTAATGCCCCACTCAGCTCTGATACTCCTAACTGCACTCCAGGCAGATCTTGCAGTCAGGGAGTGAATGGCAAACAGCCCAAAAACTTCAATTCCTTTTCATCTGGCCTGAGAGGGTGAAAATTCTGAGGGGAAGCAGCCTGGAAAAATCACACCAAGTTTGTCATTAGAAATAAAACTATTCCAGCTTTTCCCTGGGTCATCCCTTCTTCTTTATGTAGTGCTCATCTGCTTTGCTAAAAAATGTTTTCTAATCTTTATGACACCGAGGGTGTGACAAACAGATGATTCCAGTGTTTTACTTCCTTTCAAAACACACACACCACCACCACAACCTCCCCAGTGCTCCCCCACACCTTTGTGCTTTATCCATACCACTGGCAGTGTAGGTTTTTCAGCATATGGACAGAATGAAGATGTACTTTAAAAATTAAAGTACGTGGACACATCCAACATGAGCACTGTTTCTTGACTGTCTTCCTCATTATCCCCTCATTATTAAAAATCCAGTCTTGCTATTTAAAAATCCTTTTCTATCTATCATACACTTCAGACTGTGCTTTGGAAAGTCACTCATTTAAACATGAAACAGACAAATATGTAAGGGATCATTTGATAGTATTCGATAGGCGCTGGTGAGGTCACACCTTGAATCCTGTGTACAGTCCTGGGCCCCTCAGGTCAGGAGGATATTGAGGTGCTGAGGCAGGTCCAGAGAAGAGCAACGAGGTTGGTGAAGGGACTCAAGCACAAGTGCCATGAGGAGAGGCTGAGGGAGCTGGGGGTGTTCAGCCTGGAGAAGAGGAGGCTCAGGGGAGACCTTATCACCCTCTACAACTACCTGAAAGAAGGTTGGAGTCAGGTGGGGGTTGGTCTCTTCTCCCAGGCAACCAGCAGGAGAACAAGAGGGCACAGACTCAAGCTCTGCCAGGGGAGGTTTAGGTTAGATATTAGGAAGAGATTTTTACAGAGAGAGTAGTCAGGCATTGGAATGGGCTGCCCAGGGAGGGGGGGGATTCACCATCCCTGGAGGGTTTCAAGATGAGACTGGATGTGGCACTTAGTGCCATGATCTAGTAACTATGGTAGGGTTGGACTTGATGATCTTTGAGATCTCTTCCAACCTGGTTGATTCTATGATTCTCTTTTATGTATGGGCCGATAGTAATGATGTATTTTGATACAGGTCAAAGAACTCCTAAACTTTTATAAAGTTGCATTCACATGATCTGTTTCATTTACATAGAAGATATTTTATCCTGAAGACGACAAAAATACCTTAAAAGGCAAAAAAATAGCCCTAGAAACCTCACACATGGCTTCCCATCACCACTGAGTCACTTTAGCAGATGCTCTGTGTGCGCCGCACCCCGAGCCAGGAAAGCTTCCCGGGCTCGGCCCCGGTACCGTCCCGCAGCACAGGGAGCTGTGTCGGTCCCGCAGCACAGGGCGCTGTGTGTGTCGGTTCCCGCAGCCCGCGGCTCTGTGTGGTTCCCGCAGCCCGTGGCTCTGTGTGTGT